GATAGATAGATAGATAGATAGATAGATAGATAGATAGATAGATAGATTCCTTGTTTAATTCACTGTAGAGATTTCCAAGTTCTGAGCAGGGCCATCCTTGTGTCTTGTGAAATTATTACCAATTCCCAAATCCCACCCAAGATCTTTCCACTCTTGTGGAAAGGGGAAAGGAGGAAGTGCTATGCACCTCAATATCCAGCACAATGGGACTTTTGCAGACTTGTCAACTGAGGCCCAGTGGTGGGATTCAATTGTTTTTACTACCAGTTCTTTGGGTGTGGCTTGGTGGGCATGGCAGGGGGAGGATACTGTAAAATCTCCAGTCAGAGGTGGTATTTGCCGGTTCTCCGAACCACTCAAAATTTCTGCCACCAGTTCTCCAGAACTGGTCAGAACCTGCTGAAGACCATCTCTGATCCAGCCCCTGAACCAGAACCAGAAGCATAAGATTCCTCTGGTTCATAGGACATTTTCTTAACTGGAAACAGGAAATGTCCAGGTAGCCAGAGTGTGGAGCCCAGGCGCAATGATGCTGAAAAACTTTTTCTTCTTCTAAAGTTAAATGTTTTGTTTGAGGTCAAATTAGAAATTAGAATCAACAGTGCATGCAAAGCAAGGCTATCTGGAGGTATATATTTTCTACCTAGGAAAAGCTAGATGTTGAATATCAAAGTTTGAGGCTCCTTCTGGCACAGGATCCTTCCTCCAAACCAGGAGGCCCCTGATGGCGGAAAAGAGGTGAAGAAAAATAGCTTGATTGATCCAATTGCACTTTCTACAGATATCCCTCGGTGAAGTGTTAAGTCCTGTGTAGTACAATATCTAAATCAAGGGCCTTCAAACATGGCAAGTTTAAGACTTGTGGACTTCAACTCCCAGAATTCCTGAGCTAACATGACTGGAGGAGGAATTCTGGGAGTTGAAGTCCACAAGTCTTCAAGCTGTCACGTTTGAAGACCCCGATCTAAACCATGATACCCATGTACTAATATCCAAGTGTTTGTAGGCAACATAAAGTCTTGTGTGCTCGGTCTCCCTGTTGCAGAGAAACACGTTCTCTTACCTCCATGAATTTATTTTATTTTATTTATTTGATTTGTCAATCGCTTACAAGATAATAGGTATAAGTATAAACATGAGTAAGAATACAGGAAATAGGTACGAATAAGTGGGGACAATAGGACAGGGACGGGAGGCACGATGGTGCACTTATGCACGCCCCTTACAGGCCTCTTAGGAATGGGGTGAGGTCAATATAGTGGATAGTTTGAGGTTAAAGGAGTGGGGGATTAGTTAGAGAATGTAACCATAGAGTCAGGTAGTGCATTCCAGGCATTGACCACTCCGTTGCTGAAGTCATACTTTCTGCAATCAAGTTTGGAGCGGTTTACATTGAGTTTGTATCTGTTCTGTGTTCTTGTATGAATAATAGACTAGGTCTCATAACGGAATTATCATGGTACACATCTAATGCCCACAAGCATCGGAACGCATCAATGATTCACATTAGAGCAAATAGTTTTATTGGCCAATGCAAGGTGACCCAAGAGTACACAATCATTTTAATTCTCAGGAGCAACTGCAAAGCATTGGTTGAAGAACCATCTCTGGTCCCTTCATGATCTGATGGTTTTGGAAGTGGGTGTACTTTCCTTTCTCCCACCCACCCCTTCTGCCTGTCCTCCCCACAGTCATCCGGCATAAAGCCAGGGCTGAAGGGTGAGTGGTCAGCAAAGGAGGGAACCAAGATCAGCTTTCGGCTCTTGAATCTTCCAAGCCGAGCAAGCACCATGCGCCTTGTCCTGGCTCCGTTGCTTCTCCGTGCCCTGAGGCTCCTGTTGCTGCTTCCTGCCTGTGGTTGGGGTCCCGTGGTCGGCTCCCCCATCTGGAGCAACAGCGACGAACTGGTGCACCTGTACACCGCCGAGGGCAACATGAGAAGTTTCCACCTGCAGATCCTTCCTGATGGACGCGTGGACCGCACACCGTCCCAGACCGTGGACAGTAAGTCCTCAGCAGAGCTGCGGAGCGGATTGCTGAGGGAGGGATGGGGGAGTGGAGGGGCATGTCCAGGATCTGTGATGACCCGGGGTGGGATCGAAAAGCAACAGGTGAAGTCCCTTTAATTCCTTCAACTTGGCTTTAAAGGTCCAATTATCATTCACTGGAGAAAAAACTCCCTCACAAACAGTTGCGAAATGGAAGAAATTCCATGCAAACTCAAAACACATAACACTTATAAGTAGGAAACACAACACAAACCACACTGAAGCAATTAATGAGACAAGGCAGGATAAGGGCTTGAAGATGTCCACAGATATCAAAATGCACATACTGGGAAGAACTCAGATAAGAACTGACGAACTAGAAATATTTTCACACTTTGTTTCCAGCACTGGGCCATGTGCAGTTTGTCCTTTTAAAAAGTCCTCCCAGCTGCAGCCCATGAAGGGGATCAGGGCCCCCTTCCTCCCCCATAGACCACGCCACTCATGTTTCTCCCTTATCCACTCCTCCCTGCATGCCCTAGGATGGAGAGGGGATGGGCCTGGATCTTCCTCTGAATGCCCATCTGGCCTGTGCCCTTCCCCAGTTTCCTCCACAACCTCCGGAGCCACACTGCCACTCCCTGTTGGCTGTTCCTCCTCTCCCTCAGAGTCAGATTCGAACAGGTGCATGATAGGATCACACACACCCTGGAGGCTCCAAAGTGCTAGGAATTCAATGGAAAGGAAGGGACCTTGGAGGTCTTCTAGTCCAACCCCCCACTCAGGCAGGAAACCTTAGACCATTTCAGACAAAAGTTTGTCCAATCTCTTCTTAAAAGCCTCCAAGGCTGGAGCAATCATCCCACAACTTCTGGAGGCAAGTCACCCCACAGATTAGTTGCCGAGTAGTGAAAATGCTCGCCTCCAACTCAAGAAGTTGAGAGTTCGATCCTAGATAGTGGCAGGTATTTCTCTCCTAGGATGCAAAAAAAAAAAAGATATCTGTTGTGAACTTCAGGCTGGTGCCAGGAAGGGCATCCAGCCAGTAAATGCTCAACTCCATCCAGTTGCTCCAACTCTTCCCTGAATTAAGGGATTTACAGGGTCATTAAAAAGAGAGTTTAACCTTTTGACTGTGGGCAAATATATTGCCACAATTGGCCAGAATTTGGGAAAACTGGGAAGGCATCACATAATAATATTCTGATATTTGAAGTTGCTATTGGAGGTTGCTTTTTCTGGCTTCAGATATGTATGAAGAGCTCTCCTAATATTTAATCCTTTCACTTCCAGGTGCTGTGATAATCAAAACTGTAAGTGCAGGCCATGTAAGGATCATCGGTGCAAAGAGCAAACTCAACCTGTGTATGGACAGTAACGGAAATCTCTTTGGATCGGTGAGTCGTAATATTTATTTGGGATTATTTGGATTCCTTTCCTAGTGCAGCCAAGCCATTAAGAACTTGTGCTATGAGAGTTGAAGTTGAAGTAGGTTTCTGGTCTAGCAAGTGAAAGAAGAAAATTCTATCATACTCAATTCGTTTTGGTTTAAGACTGGGGCATGGTTATTCCTTTGCCTGGAGTTACGGTAACATAACATGAGGTGAATTGGTGCTCCCATCTTCCTCCCAGGAAGGACATCCACAGCATGTTGTAATTATTCTATGGAGAACTTCAGGTGTCATGCCCCTGGTGGAGACTTACTCTGAGGGACAGGAGGAACAGCCAACAAGGAGTGGAAGTGTGACTCCGGAGGTGGTGGAGGAGGCTGGGGAAGGGCAGAGGCCGGCTGGGCAGTCAGAGGAGGACGCAGGCTCTCTTCATCCTAGGGAACACAAGGAGGAGAGGATAAGGGAAAGATGTGGTCTACTGGGGAGGAGAGGGCCTTGATCCTCTTCATGGGCTGCAGCTGCGACAACTGAATAAGCTGAGACAACTGAATAACAGACTTACGTACGGGCAAACATGCAAACAAAGTGTGGAAATATCTTTAGTTTATGGTTTCTCTCTGAGTTTGGTGTCCTTCTCAGTGTGTGTTATCTGTGGACGTCCTCCAGCCCTTATCTTGCCTGGTTTGTGTTGCTTTTTTCCTTCTTCTTGTAACAGTTTGCAAGGGAGTTTTTTGTCTTCCAACAAGAACATTCGGAGCTTGGAAGCAAAGTGAAAGAATAAAAGGGGCTTCACCTGTTTTCTGTGACTGTCTTTGTTTTGTATCCCACCCTGCGTCATCACATCAGGCTTGAGCAATATTTATGAGAGTAGATAAGTGCACCGTGTATTCTTTATGTCCTGCAATTTCTGTAAAAAACAAAACAAAACACCTTTCCCACAACAGTGGGGAAAGGAAGGAACAAGATCAGGGATGGGATTCCATTTTTTTAACAACCGGTTCTGGGGGCATGGCTACATAGGCATGGGCATGTGACTGGGTGGGCGTGGCTTCTTCTTTTTTTCAGCCCCCCCCCCATGTTTTTGCCTTTTGGGCTACAGCAAAACCTCCTGGGGGGGGCATTTCGGCTCCCAGAGGCTTCCCTGGGGTCCAGGAAGGCCAAAAACGAAGCCTGGTGGAGCGCGCAGACCACCCCCACACTCTGTTTTTGGGCCTCCTGGGCCTCAGGGAAGCCTCCTGGGGGGGGCATTTTTGCTCCCAGGAAGCTTCCCTGGGTGTGCCCCCACCTTGCTCCATTTTTG